TGCCATTGAGTTGGGTCCTACCCATTGAGACCCTATATGGGATTTCTAAGGAGCAGCTGGTGGGTTTGAACTGCCAACCTTGTAGTTAGTATTCAGTGCTTATTTTACAGTACCACACCAGTCACAGTGTACTAACAGAAATGACTCTCTTTGATTCTGGTATTGTATCATTATATTCACTCCTTCCCTTTTTAAATTACTGATCATGTATATCTGAAAGTTAGTCAAAAGATCATTTAAAGGTTGGAGACAATAAACATTTTGGCAGAACCACGTTGATCAATCCCAGAGCTGATGTAAGTGCTATTTTTCACTCCGAGTCAACCATATATTTGACACATGCGACCTTTTTTACTCTCTTAACACAATCAAACAAAACAAAAATGACTCTCCTATAAAAAATAATTTCACTTTTATAAAGTATTTCCAGATTCTATTTAACCCATTTTGCTTGTTTCCCCATGAATAAAAATAGGCTGCTTCCTAACTCTGACTTGTAAACATGAAGTCATAACTTCTGATCTTGCCAGATAGTGCAACTACATAATTTTGGCTCTTACTTAGGTTTTGGGGAAACTCAAAAGACGTGTTGGTGCTACAGGAAGAGGTGGACGTTAGTAACTTTAGTCGTTCAGCTTTGCCTTGTGAGCATTCTCTGAATTGTGTTGCTGTGAACTGTTAACTGCCAATTTCCACCCTAGAGATGGCTACATTTCAGAGATGAGTGAAATGATACTTGTAAACAAGTCTATCAGCATTAGTAAAGCTTACTAAACAATCTAAGCTCTTTGGAAACACACAGCCACTCTTAAAATTCATTGCTGATTGTTAATTATAGCCTTTAATAGAGACTTGAAGACAATTTATCAAATTTCTCAACTTAATTTTGATTTCATGATGTTGATTTTGTTTTTATACATTTCAGGTGTGAGATTATTTCTCTCTGGGGATCCTGATGAAATTCTACCACTGACTATTCCAGTGTACTACTTAAAAATCCTTAGGACTATGTTTCTTTGGAGTCCTGGTGTGGTGATGCATGATAGTGCACTAGACCGCAAGGCCGGCGGTTCAAATTCACCAGCTGCTCCTCGGAACCGACTCAATGGCACCGAACAACAATGTTTCTTTAAAGCTGACAACTGCTCACTCCGGGATCTAGATGCTGTATTTGCAGTATTATCATCTATATCTACCAGAGATGGAAAATCCTGATCATTTTCTTATGCTGTACAGTAAAATATTGTTGTTGTTGCTGTTGTTAAGTGCTGTCCCGTTAGTTCTGACCCATAGCGGCCCTGTGTAGGATTTCCGAGGAGTGGCTGGTGAGTTTGAACCATCGACCTTGCAGTTCAAACCGACCTTGAGGTCCAGTGCTTATCCTATGGTGCCACACCTGACTGAAAACTTAGGTTTTTTCATCCTCGGTGGTATCTACCTCAGGTATGGCGCCTTAGGACAAACACTCGACCTCTAAGTTGGTTTGAACTGCAAGGTCAGTGGTTCAAACTCAGCAGCTGCTCTTTGGAAAACCTGTACAGGGTTGTTATGAATTGGAACTGATTGGACGGCACTAACAACCTGTTGTCATCATCCCTGAAGGTCTTGTTGTTGTTGTTATGTGCCATGGAGTTGGTTCCGACTCATAGTGACCCTGTACAGGGTTTCTGAGGCTGTAAATCTTTACAGGAGCAGAAAGCCTCATCTTTCTCCCGCGGACCAGCTAGTAGTTTCGAACTGCTGACCTTACGGTTCACAGCCCGATTCGTAACCACTACGCTACCACAGCTCCATTGTTTCTTTCGGGACTGCTTACTTTATGCAGACCTCAACATCAGCCACTATGGGTCGTTGTTGTTGTTGTTGTTGTTAAGTGCTGTCGACTCGGTTCCGACCCATTGCCACCCAGGATGGCGAGACTCCCTCTCTCATACTTTGAAGGGACATGTTATTAGGAGAGAACAATCCTTAGGAAAGGACAGCCTACGTGCTAAAGTGGCGGTGGGTCACTGAAAAAGAGGAAGGCCTCTGCAACAAGATGGAGTGACACAAGGGCAGCAGTAATGGGCTCCAACGTAACAATGATGGTGAGGTTGGTGCAGGAGTGGGCAGTGTTTTGTTCTGTTGTGCACAGGGTCGCTATGAGTTAGAGCTGACTCCATGGTACCTAACAAACACAAAAACTCAGATAGAGTGGCTCTGTAGGATAAGCACTGGACTGTGAACCACGAGGTCAGCAGTTCAAGCCCACCAGTCACTGCATGGGAGAAAGATGAGACTTGCTGCTCCTGTAAAGATTTACAACCTTTGAAATCCTACACATGGTCTCTATGAGACAGAACTGACTTGATGACACTTAATAACAACTCAGTCAATAGTTTAATAAATTGTGTGGCATTGTTAAGTAAGCACTGAATTCCTAACCAAAAAGTCAGCAGTTCAAATGCATCAACTGCTCCGAGGGTGAAAAACGAGGCTTTCTATTCCTATACAGGGTCACTGAGTTGGAATCGACTCAATAGCAGGGGGGTTTAGTGAGATTGCCTGCTAATTTCTATGAGGAGATTCCATGGTCTGTGTGTTTACAATCTCCTTGGAATTACCTAAAATATGAGCAGAAGTAAATGTAATAAAGTTAGTACTGTATATAGGTCTTTATTATAACTGAGAGAACTAGGCAAGATGGAGATACAGATTTATGTATGTATCTTCATTGTCGTAGGAAATGTACATTATTTCTAACACTCGTATTAACCCTGCAACGTCTAGTTTATCTAGAGTTGATTGACAAGGAAACCGAGATTTCTCATCCATCACTGCTTTGTAGGAGTTTCTGGCAGAGCTAGGACCTGAGGCAAGACTCTCTTGTCTCATTAGCAACCACTAGAAGTTCTTTTCCGTTAGATTAAGTGAGTTCTAGAGAAAGTGCACAATTAACTTATTCAGTTAGGATAAACACTGAACCGCAAGATGGGTTTGAACTGGAAGGTCAGCGATTCAAATCCTCCATCCGCACTTTGGAAATCCTACACAAGGTCGCCATGAATCAAAATTGACTCGACGGTATTTAACAACAGCAACAAGAAGTTTCTTCTTGGAACAGAGCCCCCTCCATTCCAACCAAACCGAAGATAAGTCATTCTTCCTCGTGGTGAGCCTGGCTGTGAGCCTTTCTGAGTTGGAAGGAGGGTTATGGGGGTAATTTGTGTCAGGGCGTGGCCTCCAGATGATTCACAGTGAGTACCCAGAGCTCCTTTTGATGTTGAGTTACATCACAGAATCTTAGATTCGGTGGAGTCTACGGTTTTACACTTGAAGAAACTGGGGCCCAAGGAGAGGAAACTGACTTGACCAAGGACGCCTGGACTGATCTAGGCAGAGGTGGGGTCGGTAGCCTGCCTTCTGACTCCAGCCCAGTGGCTCCTGCGATCTTTATGATACACGTACTAGTGTTGGAATTATAGAAGCCTAGCACCAGCCTGCAAAGCCGTTTGAACCACAAGGTCGGCTGTTCAAGTTCACCAGCTGCTCCTTGGAAACCCTACACAGGGTCGCTATGAGTCGCAACCGACTCAACGGCACCTAACAACAAATGTCATAGTGGGTTGCCACTGGGTTGATAGCTGAAGGCCAGCAGTTCGAGTCCACTAGGCGCTACACAGGAGAAAGATGAGGCTGTCTACTCCCGTAAAAGTTTACAGTCTCGGAAACCCTATACATGGTCATATGATTCGGAACCAGCTCGATGGCGCACATGAACCCTTTGTTCCTTGGTTGAGGTGGATGTCATCTCCAGGCTTTTGACAGAAAGAGGGGTGGAAAAGGGTGTGGGGGAAGTGATTTCCTTCCACCAAGGGACTACCACCGCTCTGTGCCAGGCACCAGGTAGGCATCCAGAGACAGTGAGGCCGATTCCCTGCAATCAAACAGGGAAATCGAGTCTCTCCCTACTAGCATAGTGGTTATGAATCGGGAGAAAGATGAGGCTTTCTACTCCCGTAAAGATTTACAGCCTCAGAAACCCTATACAGGTTCGCTATGAGTTGGAACCGACTCCATGGCACATAACCACCCTACCTTCGGGGCAGGTCCCGGGCCTAGATTTCCTTCTGTTGGGTGCGGTCCCATTCCTCCCAGTACCGTGCTAGGCCACTGCTTGGCCTTGCAGATTCCCACACCCAGCACCGCGCTAGACCCCTCGGTCGCTCAGCCTCCAATACAGTAGAATCCAGCTCCTGGCTGGGTAGCGCCAGGCGCGTCACCACGGTAACCAGGGAGGCGTTGACCCCTGACCCTTGCGGCCCCTCCCGGCCCCGCCCCTTGCGTTCCCGAGATCAACATGGAGCAGGACAACCCGGAAGTGCCGCCGCCGCCTCCGCCGCCGCCCGCTCTGTGCTAGGAGCCGCCGGCCCGGCGAGCCCAGGCCCCGCACCCGTCGGCCGTCCGCCCGCCCTCCACGTCCTGCCTGTGCGCAGCCCGGCCTGCCCCACCCAGCCCCGGCGACCGCCCCCCGAGAGGCGGAGCGCGGCGACAGGGGGCGGCGGAGGAGGGCGAGGTTAGCGAGAGGGAGCGAGGCCGCTCGGCCGCCGGCGGTTCGTATTACCCGGGTCGGGCCCGCGGCGAGCGCGGGGCGGGCGGGCCGCAGGAGGCGGCGGGCAGGGGCTCGGAAGTCACCTTCCAACGAGGCCTCTCCTCCGCAGCCCCCGCCGGGCCCTGGTGGCTGGGCCTCACTTGCCCGCAGGCCCGGGAGCCCCCCGTCTCCGGGAACGGCCGAACGGGAAGGTGGAGAGGCGCGCGGCGCGGAGGCCCAGAGAGCGGCCGGGGGATGGTGGGCTCCTGCTGCTCCCGAGGAGAGGGGACCCCCACGGCAGCCGTGCCCCCCGGCTGCTCGCGACAGGCGTTTTGACGTCTGCCCAGGGAAGTGGGGCAGCTCCGAGTTCGCCCCGTGCCCCTTAAGTGTCCTTAGGATGCAGTGATCAGTGTCCGGTCTTACGGCCTGTGCTGGAGAACTCGGTGCCGAGAAAAACGGCAGAATGATGCTGTCCCAGCAAGCCCAAAAGTGGTTTCCAACCCACGTGCAGGTCACTGTGCTCCAAGCCAAGGATCTTAAGGCCAAAGGCAAAAGTGGCACCAATGACACATACACTATCATTCAGCTGGGCAAGGAGAAGTACTCCACCTCCGTGGCCGAGAAAACCCTGGAGCCGGTGTGGAAAGAGGAGGCCTCTTTTGAGCTACCCGGTCTGCTCATGCAGGGCAACCCGGAGAAATACATCCTTTTCCTAATAGTTATGCACAGATCCCTGGTGGGGCTAGATAAGTTTTTAGGGCAGGTGGCCATCAATCTCAATGACATCTTTGAGGACAAACAAAGGAGGAAAACAGAGTAAGTTATGCCATTTGTTTTCAATTTGGGGGCGCTTTAAGTATGACTTAGGAGGATCCCTGGTGGCGCCGTGGTAAAAGCGCTGGACTGCCAACCAAAAGGTCGCTTGTTCAAGCCCACCAGCGGTTCTGCTGGAGAAAGATGTGGCAGTGTGCGTCCTGTAGGGAGGGCAGCTTTGGGGGCAAGGCTACTGTGCCCTGTAAGGTCACTTTGAGTGGGAAACGTCTGGAAGATGGTGGGTGGGTAGTAAATCGTATTTATGAATTTTCTACTCTTGGAAGTTATTTGTATATTTAGGGCATGGGCTTTTGGATTGAAATGTGACCTAGTTTTAAGCACCCTATTTGTATGGCTCTGAAGTGAAAAATAGCCCTTTGAAGAACTTTTTTTTTTTTTTTTTAAATGAAGTCATTACTGACACATTGTTCTTCATTTCTGTTTGTGTAAACATCAGTTAGATCATCAAATATTTTGCACTGGATTTTAAGTCAACTAAAATTGTTGCACTGTTTGTTAGACTACTGAGTCACAGTGTCAAACGGATAAAGCTTCATAGAAGTAAGTGTTCACTGTTTTTAAGGATTTTTTAAAACAAATTTTCCTTAAAATGGACTGTCAGAAAATTGAGTCTGTTCTTCAAGCATTTTAATCCAAGTGTTGAGCTCTGAAGCTGTGAAAGACAAATGACCAAATTTAGAAACTCGCTGTTTCACTTCAGGATTGTAAACACAGTTGCTCTTTATTTTAGCTGGTCATGTTTTCAGAGTACACGCATCTTGCTGTTAGAGGGGAAAAAAAAGTTCTACAAACATTCTCAACTTTGAAGGACTAACTATATTTTCCTTTGAATTGACAGTGTATTGAAGCGAGTGGATTCCTTTTGAGTTAGTTCTGCGAAGTTAGTGTGTCTCAACCACATGAAATGTTGGAAGATTGGAGACAATTAAATTCTTGCGATGAAATGATGGAGTGGCATTTTTAGAGAAAACATGGTCTTATATGGTTTTTAAGCTTAGGTTAGATATTTTGTAATAAAAAAAAAAGCACGAATGTAAGCTAACACTAGAGTATTATATAGCTTAAAGCGAAAAGTTGTATGTTTTCAGAGCTTGGTGTATATTCTCACTGCTTCCTTAAACTTCTCCTTTTTCTAGTCTGAGAAAATATGATGAATGGATTGGGAGAAAAATACAAGTTGAGCTTAAATCTTCAAATTTCCACCACAGCTGTGTTATTTCTTTCAGTTAGAAATTAATTTTTTTTTCTCTAAAATTAAAAAAATTATAATAACTAAAAATTCACATCATTTTGTTGCATTTTAAGTTAACCTTCTCTTGCTCTTTGCTCTACCTGTCTTGTCTGCAGGCTTCTCTTGATTGGAGGCTTTTTTGTTGGTTGGTTGGTTTTTGTAATGAGCTCTTTCCCTAAGATTGAATAGACGCAGAGTTAGAAGGGTAAAGAGATAAGAAATCCTACAAATGAATGCCAAGAGGGAAAATGGCAAATATTGAAATTAATTGAGGAGATGATCGTATTTTAAGAAGTAAGAGTGAAAAGGTTTAAAATGTGTGTGAGGTTGAACATACATCAGTGACTTCGATAATAAAACAATTTGAGATCTGAAGAGTGCCCTCTCTGTTTCCTCTGTGGAGTTCATCAAATTTAAAATGCAAAATGGATCATCACCAAATAGTTTGTATCCGATTGCCAGTTCTAAGTGACTTAGTCTATAGTATTTAAAAGTGTTTTTGAACTTGTTTAAGTATACTGTAACTTCAAATTTCTTATTGCTTTTATAGGATTTTTAATACTAATGGCTGAGGTAGTACAGGCCTTCTTCTGATTTATGAATTTTCCAAGTGAAAGTTGACTCAAGTGTTAAAGCACAGATTCTGAGGATGAAACAACCTTTTAAAAGTGCCCTCTCGTTGTCACTGTGTGTCTCTGGCAGCCTCCTAGTAACCCCCTGTTCCACCGTGAGCACTCCTCTCCTATTAGTCCTGCCTGCAGAAATTCTAGATTGGAAATTCACTAGGATTGATGAGACCTTTTTTTTTTCTGGGGAGGGGGGAACTGCTTTTAAATATTACCAGTAGGGCTTGTCACGTGACTGCTTGTGACAAGACCTCTTTTTAAGTGTTTAACAGTTTGAGGACCATGGGCTTTTCAATCGCCTCATGGTGTTTTCATCTGTTACCGTATACCCTTACTGCTTTCCTAACTTTGTGGGTGAGTGGGGACCACATACTTGATGAGGCATCTTTATTGGTAATATTTCTCGTTTTTTAATATATTTAATAGTTTCCTTTTTTCCAGCCCAGCTGTACATGTGGCGCGGAATGCCTTGACGCACCGGTGTGTTGCAAGAAAGATGTGTAATGTTCCGCACATTGCTGGGCTGTGTCAGCATATTCCCAAGGGCTTTGTAGAAAAACGAGTGGAGTGATGAAAGCCACAGCTGATTTAGAAGTCCCATGAAAAGTGCTGGGCCTGACTCGTCTTACTTTTTTGACACCAAAGACGAGTATTTACAGCCGGTTTTCCATTTGTGTCATGATAGGCAAAGAAGTGTGTTGGCTGAAACGGTTTTTCGACTTAATTTTTGTATTTTGTTTTGCTCTCTTAAGGATCGGGGGAAGGGTATGAGCCAGCACACTTAGAGTGGGGCATGGGCTTCTGTTGCATCTCCCACTTTTAATGGGTGTTTGCATTGATTCTGGCGTGAGATTGAAGGAAATAATACAATGGTTAATAATAGAATGGCAGACTCACTCGTGCTATTTTGTAATATCAATGGATTTTTTTTTTTAAACAGAAGTGGGTGATGTTGGTTTTAATTTATTGCTTGTGAGCAGTTACGATGCTGAGGGTCCCTGGAGTTAGGTACGGTGCACACACATGCCGATTCCACGTCTGCTATGTGTCCTTCTCTACGGCACCTGCTTCCTGGCCCCCTTACCAACACTCTTGTCCTCCTCCTGACCACACAACACCAATTGCTTGGGAATAGTTCCCACATGTGTGGTGGCTTTTGCACATGGACCTGTGCCCACTGAAAATTGAACTGAAGCAATAGACAGTTTAAATCCAGCACTCCAGAGGTAGGGGGGACAATTCAGCATTAATCCACTAAGCTCCGCATGCTCTGTCTTCCTTTTATCTTTATGAAGCCTGGGAAAGCACCTCTGCAGAGACTCTTGACCGCCTCATTAAGGCTTCCTTGTTAGATACGTGTCACCATACAACAGCAAAAGTCATTTGTCATACATAGGATTTTTCAGTGTATTTGTGAAAGTTCTTTGCCACTTTTTTTTGGCGATGAAGAGATAGAAACTACAGTGTATTTATAGTTTGCATTCAAACACTGACTTGCTTTCCTTTTTTTTTTTAAAGTCTTTAAGGAGCTCTGGTAGCATAGTGGTTATGAGTTGGGTTGCTAATCTCAAGGTCAGCAGTTCAAAACTACCAGCAGTTTTGCGGTAGAAAGATGTGGCTTTCTGCTCCCGTAAAGATTTACAGCCTCAGAAACCCTTTATAGGGTCCCTGAGTCTGAACTGATTCCACGCACGGCACACCACCACCACTACCACCACCTGTCAAAAAACCAAACCCAAACCATGCCACATACACACACAGGAGTTGTAGCTTGATTGTCTTCTGAATATGAGTCTAGAAATACCCACTCAATAAACATTTTCAGCGCAAGTCAAACTTACATCAAGGAACCTATTTTCCTGCAGATGTTATTCATCACTTGGGGATTTTTTTTTTACTAATCGACTTGAATCCAATCTTGGGAAGTGATTTTTTTTTTTTTCCCTCTGTGCCTTGGTTTTCTCATCAGTGACATAATGGTGCTAAGTAGAAGGCCTCTTTGGTCTTGTTACTAAAATTGGGTTAATTTGGATGATCCTCCCTAACTTTATTTTACTGGGTTGCTAATTTGTTTTCTCAGATTTGCCATACTTTGTTAATACACGTAGGTATCTTATGTGCTGTTTTGTTGTGGTGGTGCTAGAGTTTTTAATATTTTATTTGTTGCGAAGTGTATTCACCTATTTTCCATGTAGTCTGAGAATATGCTTGAGGGCCATCCATCAGAAGTTGTTCTGTCTTCACCCCCTCAAAAAAAAAGTAACTGTCCCCCCCGCCCCCCAGTTATGAGGGAATAGCATCAACAAGGTTGGTTTGGAAACTCACCAGCTGCTCCTTGGAAACCCTATACAGCATTCCTGTGAGTCGGAACCCCCTCTGCCGCACTTCACAATAGCAGCAATGTGACTGGAATAACTGGGAGGTAGTGGTGGTGGGTGTGTGCTGTCAGGTCGGTTCTGATTTATAGTGACTGTGTAAGGGTTTCTGAGGCTCTAAATCTTCATGGGAGCAGAAAGCCGCGCATCTTCCTCCTGAGGAGCCTCTGGTAGCTTCGTCCTGCTGACCTTGCAGTTAGCAGCCCAACTTGTAACTTCTTTGCTACCAGGATTCCTTTGAATAACTGGATGTTGTTGTTGTTGTTAAGTGCCGTCGAGTCGATTCCGACCCATAGCGACCCTGTACAGGGTTTCCGAGGGTGTAAATCCTTACGGGAGTAGAAAACCTCATCTTTCTCCCGTGGAGCGGCTGGTAGTTTCGAACCGCTGACCTTAAGGTTCGCAGCCCGATTCGTAACCACTACGCTACCAGAGACTGGATACGTAACGTTATTTCATGGCCAGACTTTTTAGGTGCTCAGTTTTGTCTTGTGTAAGGTTCTCTTTCCTACAGAGTTTAAATCACTGTGATGGCTTCAGACTTCATCATTTGCCCCAGATTAGGGATTTTCTTAGTTTAGGGTCTCAGGTTAATGTTCTCCATTATAAAATGTCTTATTCTGTAGCTCTGTAGGATAAGCACTGGACTGTGAACCTCAAGGTTGGTGGTTCAAGGCCACCAGTCACTTCTTGGAAATCCTACGTAGAGTTGCTAGGAGTCTGAACCAATTCAATGGCACTTAACAATTCTTTAAAGCATTCCTTGTCCTGATGATAACTAGATCTTAATGGGTTGACTTGCTCCAATGTAGTTAACTAAGAAAATCATTTTCTTCTGGGTTAACTTAAAGAACCGATGAGAACGGTCAGTATAGAAGGTGTTCTCAGAAAGCCAAAGTTTACTTGTTGTTGTTAAGTACCCATCGACTCGCTTCTGATTTATCGCAACCCTCTATAGAGTTTCCAAGGCTGTAAATCTTTATGGAAGCAGACAACCTCATCTTTCTCTGGTGCCGTGACTGGTAGATTCGAACTGCTGACCTTGCAGTTAGCAGCCCCGTTCGTAATCCAGTATACTCTCTGAGATGTGTGGTTTTGGTCCAAAGTTGGATCTCAAGATCGTCCATTTCAGGAGCGGGATTCCAGTATCCTCGCATTGTATGCAAGGATGTTGGAAAGAGTTGGAATCCTAACTCAGTAGGGTTCAGGGGAACCATAACCAAAGGTAATGAAGTCCTCAGGCACCCCTGCCTTTCTGCCCACGAAGTTTCCTTACAAACTTGAGTTTTCTCAGAAGACCGTAGAGGAGTGACAGTATTCCTCCCACCTTGAGAACATGAAACCCATCCTAAGTATTAGGCTCTTTTATGGTTTGTATTGTGCAATGTGCTATGGGAGTTTTCAGTTCTTGGTAGGGACGGATTTTCACCAATTTGTCCCCATTGTTTTGCTTGGTTGTGAGAACTGGTGTGTTAAGCAGGGCTCCAAGGGCATAATTCCTAGCTAGTTTTAAGACTTGTGTAACTTTTGAAGAGAGTCCTGGTGTGGGATGCACCAGACTGCAAAGCCATTTGAACTGCAAGGTCAGCGGTTCAAGCTCACCAGCTGCTCCTTCGAAACCCTATGCAGGGTGGCTGTGGGTTGGAGTCGACTCAACGGCACTTAACAACAACAACAAACTAAACTATAAGGAGTTCTGGCAGCATAGTGGTTATGAATTGGGCAGCGATCCTTAAGGTCAGCATTTCGAAACTACCAGCTGTTCCACGGCAGAAAGATGAGGTTTTCTGCTCCCGTAAAGATTTACAGCCTCAGAAACCTTGTGCAGGGTCGCTAATGAGTCGGAATCGACTCCACGGTATATACCCACCTGATAGCAAATCGGTCTGCTCCTCTCATGGTCAGCAATTCAAAATTGCCAGCAGTTCTGCAGGAGAAAGATGAGGCTTTCTGCTTCCATTAAGATTTATAGCCTCAAAGATCCTATAGAGGGTTGCTGTGAGTCAAAACCGACTCCACAGTATGCTACCACCACCACCATATAAAACGAGTGCTGGTGTGGCACTGTGAGTTAATGCACTGGACTGCAAGGTCAGTTTGAACTGCAGGGACAGCGATTCAAGCTCTCCATCCACTCCTCTGAAACCCTGTACAGGGTTGCTATGGGTTGAAACTGACTCGATGGCACTTAATAACAACAACATAGAAAAAGGTAGATTTAGATTTGTCAGACTGATGATTGTGTGCATAAATTTAAAACGCTGAGATTGCCTCATATCCTGACTTCTTTCAAGAATGGGTTTGTGGCTACGTTAGTAGCCTACGAGGAGGCTTCAAAAAGTTCTTCAAAAAATTCTGTTCTCTCTCCATTCTGTTTTCCACGAATTCGTGACTCCCCCTTGAAGGTGAATCTCTCTGCAGCTGCGACTGTAAATAGCAGTTTGTTGGAGTCTGACTTCCTGGGTTATGGGAGGTACTGTGTGAATTGGTGCCATGTTGTTGTGGACTCTCAGGTTGGTTCCAATTCACAGCAGCCCTCTAGGGTTCCCAAGAGCCTCTAGTACCTCACTTAGCCTCCAGCACCACACCAGGGCTTGTTGTCGTGTTGGAGTATTCAAATGCTTCTTCTTTGTAAGTGTCTATCTTCCATTACTGTTGAACTGCTTTAACTTCAAGGCATGGTGGGTGAGAAAGGGCAAAGTAGTCACTTTCTGAAAACTAACACAGTTGGGCAGGACTGGTGGTAATGTTGGTGAGTGTGTTTCTCTTTGCTCATTTAAGAGTAGTTCTCAGTAAAGAGTTAAGTTCCTATCGATTCAGAAGTGATTGAGTACTTTGTGTAGGTATTTCAGTGTATCATTGATGCACGGTTTACATATCCCACCCCAGGCCATTTATGCTGTAGTCAGTTGGTATATATACCGTATTTTCACATGTGACACACGCATGCATATAGTTCTCCCAGCGCTTCTCGTAAGGAACCAACATGTGAGGGGATTGTGCAATGTGCAAAACCCCATATAACGCACACGTGGTTTGTGTAAAAATATGGTATCTGTCATGGGCAAGTTCTCTTCCCTGGAAAGACCTATGACCTGGAGTTCCATCTGATGCATAGTAACCTTTGAGCATATCCTGTTGGTAGCAATGAGAATGAAGTCGTGCATCGGAGTTCCTTTGTAGCTAAGAAAATTGGTTACAGCTGATTAAGGGTCTGTGTAACTAATCACCTCTCTGCAAGAACAAGTATCACTTCATCCTTGAATAACGTGGAAACCTTGTAGAAATTCTGTTAGGCTTTATTTTGCAGCACGTTTCCTCTCCTCTGTCATCTTCTCTTGGCTGTTTGCCTTTGAGCGTGACTGTAGAGACACAGAACTGGAGAAGTTCTCATGGATCTAAGTCTTAGAACCAAAATAAACTGGACAGCAGAATACAGTGGAATGGCCCAAAGCGTTAGACTTTGCTCCACTCAAAACCACTTTTATTCGGCGTCATCACAGTCTCACAAAGACAGTTGAACGGAAAGCATTTGAGCTGCATTTCCCCCAACAAAGTCATTGCAAAACTTATTACTAGTGTTTGTCACTTTTGCAGTTTACTCATTTTGCTTTGGTCCATTTCACATGGCGCTAATGTAGAGGGTTCTGGTGTGGAGCTGTAGGGTAAGCACTGGACTGCTAATCGAAAGGTCAGTGGTTCAAACCAACCAGTCACTCCTTGGAAACTCTGTATAGGGTCGCTATGAGTTGGCACTGACGCATTGGCACTAAACAGCAATAATGCCAGTTGCATCATGTATGATTTTCATGGTTGGTTGTTAGGTGCCGTCCATTCATTTCCAGTCATAAAGACCCTCTGACCGAAATTCTGCCCTGTCCTGCGCCACACTCACAATGGTTAAATTGGAGCACATTGTTGCCACCCCTGTGTCAATTCAGCTCGGTGGGGGGTGGTCCTCTTTTTCTCTGACCCTCTACTTTTCCAAGCATGCTGTCTGTCCTCCCAGGTCTGGTCTCATGATAATATGTCCAACAGACCAGAGACGAAATCTCTCGGGTCTCACTTCTAAGGAGCAATTCTGGCTGCATTTCTTCTAAGACAGATTTGTTTGTTCTTCTGGCTGCCCCTGGTACTTTAGTATTCTTTGCTAACACCAGACTCCAAATGCGTTGATTCTTCTGTGTTTCCCTTATTCAGTGTCCATTTTCCACAGGCATATGAGGCGGCTGAAAATACCATGGCGTGAGTCAGGCCCACCTTAGTTCTCAAACGGATTTTTGTGCTTTGAAGAGATCTTTTGCAGCGGATTTTCATGATGAATAAGCTATATGTGATAGTCTACAACATGAGTGGCGGTCTGCTCCCGTAAAGATTTACAGCCTCGGAAACCCTGTACAGGGTCGCTATGGGTCGGAACCGACTCCACGGCACTTAACAACAACAACAACATTAGTAAACTTGTTTTAATTATTTTTCATACGTTATATCTGTTTTGGGACTAAAGGACTATTTTATTAAAAATATAATTATTTGTCAATATTTAATTACTTAAAATAATTGATGTTGATGAGGGCTTACATAGTGTTCTTAGACCGTTAGTAATCCTTACTCTAGCTAGAAACATGTTAGCTATTGTTGGTAAGAAGTTTTGATGTGTGATTTTCAGATCATAGAACAAAGATTATTTGAAAACCTTTTCTTTTCAAACCTATTTCAAATGTGAAAACATACTCTCAGCCACATCACAGAAACGATGTTCAAGTTTTTAAATTACACAAGGAGGAAAACCCGAAATGCTCGGGCGGAGCGCTTCTTATTCGGAGCTTAGATCGTCTTGATGTGTGGTGGCTTTATCTAAAAGTTACTTGTATGTAGCAGCGAACCCTGTCTTCTCACCATTACATGTTCCAACTCATTGTTTCCCCCCTTTTCTTTAAGGTGGTTTAGATTAGAATCCAAACAAGGAAAAAGAGCCAAAAACCGGGGTGAGATAAAGGTCAATATTCAATTTATGAGGAACAATATGACAGCAAGTATGTTTGACTTATCAATGAAGGACAAAACCAGATCCCCTTTTGCAAAATTGAAAGACAAAATGAAAGGTAGAAAGAGCGACGGGACGTTTTCTGACACATCTTCTGCAATCATTCCAAGCACTCACTTGCCTGATGCCAGTACCGAATTTTCAAGCAGTGAAATACCGTTGAAATCCAAACCCAAAAAGCCTTTTCTCCTGGGTCCCCAGAGACTTTCTTCAGCGCACTCAATGTCTGACTTAACCGGGTCCCACGTGTCTTCTGAGAAATTGAAGTCTGGCATCATTGGTCCAGCACATCTTGTTGGTTGCCAGATAGATTCCTTCGGAGCAGTTCCAGAAGGTGGTAAGTGGCATGTTCTTTCTAACGGTGGCCTGAAAGACACCTGTAATCTTACAGCTTAACTTCTGAAGTTGGAGAATAGCAATGAAAGTGTCTCATGGGTATTTTTGAATGCAGACATTCAGCAAATACTTACTGAGCACCTACTATATCCAGAATTGATAAATTCATTGAAGTGAGTTTGTCTGCATCCTTTTTATATTATTGTTGTTGTTGTTATGTGCCGAAGTGTTGGTTCCGACTCATAGCGACCCTACATAGGGTTTCTGAGGCTGTAAATCTTTATGGGAACAGAAAGCCTCATCTTTCCCCTCAGTCCCCTTTCAGGTGTTCTGGTGTGGCACTGTAGGATAAGCACTGGACTGCTAACCTCAAGGTTGACAGTTCAAGCCCACCAGCCACATCTCGAAAACCCTATACAGGGTTGCTGTGAGTCAGAACCAACAAAAACAACAATTCCCTTTCATAACCTACCTTCATATTACTGCTATTTCTCCTTCTCCAAAGCCTAAAGCATAAATGAATGTTCTGTTTCATCAAAGTATGAAGGGAAAAAAGCAAAAAGCTTTTATGCTCAAAAGAAAGTAAATTTAATACTACACGTTGATGAAAAAGTCTTTAATGATTTATAGCATTATCATGCCAAGCCATACCTCTCGTTTTGACATCATAGTTTGCTTATGTCTGTTTCTTTCTGAGTACATTGTTCATTATCTAGCAATACACAAGTTGTTGTTATTAGCTCAGATACTTGCGACTGCATTGGGTGTTGGTTTTCCTGGGTTATTTTGCAGGCTATTCTGTTGAAATAGTTAATTGTTCTCCTTCTGAAACCAGCAGCAGTGTGACACTGGCTGTGTCAGAGTGAGACCGAGGGTGTCCCTGACTGTATGCTAACTACACACTTGTTTACAGGAAGCCTCAAATCTCCACACAGAAGAGCTCTAAGCTTTGATACCTCTAAAATGAACCAAGCTGACAACAGTGTGGACCCAGGTGAATTGTCCTTCGGAAGACAAAATGATCCATTTACAAATGTGACTGCTTCCTTACCCCCAAAATTTGCAACACTGCCAAGGAAGAAAAACCCATTTGAAGAAAGCAGCGAGTCCTGGGACAGCAGTGTGAATTTGTTTTCGAAATCCATTGAAGTGCGGAAGGAAAATAAAAGAGAGAAACGGGAGAAAGTGAGCCTGTTTGAAAGAGTAACTGGGAAAAAGGATGGCAGGCGAGCTGATAAACTTCACAACGGGGCATCGGATAGCCCTTGTGACTTGAGATCACCTAATGCATTTAGTGAAAATCGTCAGGACTATTTTGATTATGAGTCAACTAATCCGTTTACATCAAAATTCAGGGCTTCAACTATCCTGCCATCTTCCAGGTAAGCTTAGCTTAGAGGGCGTTGCGCTGTTTTGGGGAACTTTGTGCTTGAATATCCCTTGTAAATACCTGAATATTTTCAAGTCCTTTTATTTTACTTGGAAACTGTTCTCACTTTTTTTTTTGTAATTAATTGTGGAACTGGGTAATGTTGCAGGCCTCTCCGAATTGAGCTTTCTGTTTAGAATTATAAGCAATTCTTCTTCTCTATCCTCGCCACTTAAATGAGCCAAAAGCTCACTGAAACATAAAGTGAGAATGACATAGTTTTTGATGACATGTAGTGGGTGTTAACTTAAGCCAGAAATGTAGATGTCCTGTATTTCTAAATATTCTTTTTCTGTGGCTGTTTTATGGACTGTCTGAGGAGGATTTGTGGTCCAATTGTAGCCCATAGGCTGTTCTTTAAGAAACACTGGCGTAAGCATTAATATCCATACCAGGGGTTCATTCTCCTTATTGCCTGCTTATTTAAAAGTAGTTCTTAACTTGTGAATAGTAACTGGAATTTACTGACCCCTGTGAGAACTGTGAAAACACCAGAGTGTTCTATGATTTATAGTCTTGTTGTTGTTGTGAAGTGCCGTCAAGTCGGTTCCAATTCATAGCGACCCTCTATAGGGTTTCCAAGGAGCGGCTGGTGAGTTTGAACCGCCAATCTTGCTGTTCAAATCAACCTTCAGGTCCGGTGCTTATCCTATAGCACCACACCAGGACTCCCTTATAGTCCTAGAAAGAATCATTATCAGGATAAAGATTAGACTTTTCAAGCTGCAGTCTTTCAGTGAGGTGCTGGTGGTGTGTGCCACCGAGTTGGTCCCAACTCATAGCGACCCTGTAGAGGGTTTCTGAGGCTGTAACTGTCTACAGGAGCAGCAAGCCTCCTCTTTCTCCCACACAACAGCTGGTGGATTCGAACTGCTGTACTCCAGGGCTCCTTCAGTGAGGTATATAAGGACACTTTCCTAACTCCTGGGTAGGAGGTAAAACTGTACACATTTTACACAAGTAAACAAGGGAATAGCTGAGTAAAGTAACCTCAAGCAGAGAATTGCGGTGCTGCAGGGTATGCGCTGGACTTCTAACCGCAAGGCCAGTGGTTCAGACCCACTAGCTGTACCTCCGAAACCTTGTACAGGGTCACTGTGAGTCAAAACCGATTCAACAACACTTACCAACAGCAAGCAGAGAGTAAAATGAGTGCATTGGATTCTGAAGTAATTACCAGGAAGACACATGGTAGAATTTTTGCATATAAAATAGAGGCTGTTCTCGAAGTAATAATGTATAGCACACAGACCTGAATAGGGGTCCTGGCTTTCAGCCCTGGGACCTCTATCTTTGAAAGGTAGAATAGAATACCTACTTGATAGGAGAGCATGAGGATGAAGTGTATGTACCAAGTACACAGCACAAGCCAGCCCCCAGATAGGGACTTCAGAAATAGTGAGTGTGGGACATTTCATGCGTGAGTGTGTCATGCCATGTTTTACTCAAAAATCGTGCTCCACTTTGCCCCCTCTACAAATGGAGACTGTGGTACCAACAATCACCTATTTACAATTGTGCTCTCTCCCACTTCTCTCTGTGGGATCTATTCCGGCGTCATGTTTAGAAGCATGCATCTCAGACTTCCACGGGAAAGTGTCCTGTTTTTTAATGAATGGATATTTCCTGTGGTTTTAGAAAGTATCCTTCAGTGTTTTAGTTACACAGATTTTACTTCAGAGAAAGGAGTTCTGGTGATTACAAGTCGGGCTGCGAACCTCAGGGTCAGCAGTTCGAAACTACCAGCTGTTCCACGAGAGAAAGATTAGGCTTTCTGCTCCTGTAAAGATTTACAGCCTCGAAAACCCTATATAGGGGCACTATGAGTCGGAACCAACTCCACGATATGCCGCCGCCACCACCACCACCACCACCACCACACTTCAGAGAAATACAGTTTTATTATATGGCACTAGTATTTTACTGAGGAGTCCATAATTTTGTTATGTTACCCTAGAATTTCACATTGTATACTTTGTTGTTGTTGTTAAGTGCTGTCAAGTCGGTTCCGACCCATAGTGACCCTGTATAGGGTTTCCGAGGAGTGGCTGGTGAGCTTGAACCACTATCCTTGCAGTTCATACAGCTTTGCAGTTTGGTGCATCAACCCACAGCGTCGCACCGGGACTCCCATTGTATACTCTACATAATGCCATAATTCCGTAATTCTAGCTTTGTTCTCCCTTTCCTGAACTTTTCTTCTTCTAAGATGGTAAAAACAATTGAGACACTTTAGAGCTTGAGTATTTTAAAGTTCAAGAAAAGCAAGAAAACTGGGAAATGGCAGGCATAAGATTCTCTTAAACTATGGTCACCAGCTGCTCCTTGAAAACTGTATACGGGGTCGCTATGGGTAGGAATCGATTCGTCGACACTTAACAACAACAAACTTTGGAAGCAAATGTAAAACGGAAGTGTCCTCAAAATCTTGAATTGCCTACATGCAAACTGTTTACATGGACCACCGGGGTTTTAAAAAGGAGCCTGGCATTTTGCCAAAATTTAGGCTTCATATTGGGTTACTTCAATATTAATGCTGTTTCTGTCCAAATCAGAATTTTGCCATGATATATGTATAGAATTATTGCAAGTATGTGAAAAAAGAAAAACATATTTGTTTTAATTTTGACTTTTCCTGAGATACACGTGTAAGGACCAGAAAGCCAAATAAAACCCAAACCAGCTGCTGTCCAGTCAGTTTCAACTCTTAGTGACCCTGTAGGATAAAGTAGACCTGCGCTTTCTAAGAATGAAATCTTTGTTGTAGCAAACTGCTGCCTCTTCCTCCCAGGGAGTGGTGGGTTCGAATCACCGACCTTTTGCTTAGCAACTGACATGTATAGATTCCCCAGAAGTTACTATGTTTTGAGGCACGGAGACCATCTTTGTTTTGTAAAAAGCGCTAGCTCTAATTGGTGGTGGTGGTTATGTACAGTGGAGTGGGTTCCGACTCACAGCCACTGTGTATAGGGTTTCTGAGGCTGTAAATTGTTACGGGAGCAGAAAGCCTCATCTTTCTCCCGTGGAACAGATGGTAGTTTCGAACTGCTGACCTTGAGGTTAACAGCCTGCCAACTAACTACTACGCTGATTAGGACTAGACAAAAGAAGGATTGAATACCAGTGGATCTAAGAAGAATGTGCAGCTCAAGTTTTAAAGCAGAGACTTTATCCCGTGTACCGTATGGAAGGTTAGAGTCAACACAGTTTTGTTTTTCCATAATAATGTATTCATATTTATCTTCACAGTGGTGTCCCTCAGTTACTGTGGGTCACTATAGATTTCTCATGTTGACAGCCAAAGCAAATGGTCTTCGGAAGCGATAGACTCCCAGAGTCCCCCGAGAGCGCCAAGCTCCCTCCTTTTGGTGATGCCACTGTTCAACACCTGGCCTCCAAGTCACTGGCTGCAGAGGGGATGAGAGTGGACGGTCCCACATAGGGCATTTTTATGTGCCAAGGTGCCATGGGTGTGCTTCACTGCCATGCTAGTTCCGATGTGGAACCGTGTTCTTTGGCCAGAGCTCAGTGCTGTGTCAGTGTACTGTGAGAAGCTGGCAACCTAACAACAACAACAACAACAACAACAACAACAACAACCCAGCAGGAGAATGAATTGGATTTGGTGAAGATACGACAATGTGTGTACCTATGCTCAGCTGTCTACACCACCAAGTCCACAGTACACGTGCCTCACTTGCTACGTGTGTACACAGAAGGATAGTTGGGACGCTCCTCATTTTTAGGAAGGATGTCTGTTTATTATTGGTATTGAGTTGTTTGGGTTTTAAAATTGCTGCTGCTTTTGCTTTTTAGTTAAAAATCACAAGTCCTTTAGTGTCATCTGTATCAACTAATTTGTGTGGTTATTTCCACAAGTTGTACACGAGTATTTTCTGCTCCCGCAAAGGTGTACTGCCTCACAAACCCTGTATAGAATCGCCACACTTAACTCGACAGCTCTTAACAATTTTCCGTTAGCAAATATGCTTGATGGATGTTGGTTACACCATTTTCAATACCGTGTTTATAACCAACTCTTTTTTTTAACACTGGATTATTTATCACTAGGAAGTAGAAATGAATGATTACATTTTCCAAATCCAGTTTCCTTTTATTTTTCACTGGATGGCTTAGAGTGAGGTGGTGGTATGTGACCAAGTTCTGGCTTACGGACTTGGGAGTGGAAGGGTGGACTTCTCCCGCACAAAACCTTCCACTGTACTTGGCCCAGGGGTCAGTTGACTACATCTGGACACCACATCCGGCCTGCTGTTGGATTTATTTGTAAACACAGGCTTATTAGAACATAGCCACACCCATTTGTTTGTAGCTGTAGTGGTCAAGGTTAGATAGTTGTGACAGATTGAATGGCTATCAAAGCCAAAAATATTTATTAATGGTTCTTTTATAGACCTAGTTTGCCGACCCTGGTACTGAACAGGCAGGATCTTTGAGAAGACGGGCAGAGCTATAAGATGAGCCCTACATGCATGTAGGAGGCTCCAATAACTGATTGGACTTTGTTTGAATGATAAATGCTCAGAATATTAACTGACTGGGACTTTAGCAGTTGATTTCAGCACTTAGAATGACTTATTCAAATAAGCAGAGAAGGTGCTAGAACCCCTTTTTCTATTCCAGAAAGTCTAGGGCAAAAAAACAAATGAACCACTGATGCATAGTACCAATCCCAAACGCTTCTTTCTGGTTCTCAGTTATTATTTTATTTTAGGCTTTTCTCACCCGACTTTTCTCTTACTCTTCTCCCCTATATGTTCTGTTATTAGATGCATTTGAGTCAGTTCCAACTCAGAAGAACACTGCCCTGTCCCGCCCATCTCACAGTTGTTACTCTGTTGGAGCTGATGGTTGCTCTCTGTTGCAGAGAAGTAATTTCCGTAGTGTGAGTCTCCCTCTCTGACGAGTCCTGTGTAACCATGCCATTTCTGT